ATCGAGGAGTATTACACGCTCTTTCCCATGATGAAGGTTGGCTCTTCCTGTGCATCACATCGAGCAGATCCTCAGCAGCCTTATCAAAATGCAAGTCACATGATCGACGATTTCGAGGGCTACGTGGATCACTCGACCACCACATCATGTCCCACTCGACCTTGGAAAAGATCGGACAGCATGTTCATCGTGGAGTGCCCGGGCGATTCCGAGTGCTTCTATCACGATATCCTCGACGAAACTTGCATACCAGTCTACGCATCACAAGCAGAATAATTCATTGTTGAAGAAGATGTTGCAAGATTATGGGAGCCCATCGAACCCGCAGATCGCAAGGAGATCTCCTGACATGTTCAGCATGACTGCTTCCGACCAAGACTGAAATCGGACTGTGCGTCGGACAACTTCATTGATTCAGCATGGGTGCGCAGATGGATGTGGAAATAGAAATGGGTACTACGCCCCCGCTTATGCGGCCGCGGCTTCAAGGATAATCAGGAGTACGCAGTGGATCGACACCGCTCCACGGCAGCCAGCGTCAGTCAGCGCATGATGATCTCATTGGCCCAAACGCACGACGATTTTCAAGTGGAACCCTGGGACATACCATCCGCTTTCCTTCAAGGACTTAAATTCGATGAGGTGGCACGCAACTCCAAGGAGCTTGGCCTGGACCTTCGTGAGAAGAGACACGCGTATACCATACCACCACCCAATGCATGGCGGCACCTACGGGACCTCTCGAAGCCATTTGACATGCCCGACTCAGAGACGCACCTGTACGTCCTAGAGTGCATAAAGCCCTTGCCATGTCTGGTGGACGCGCCTCAACTGTGGCAGGCGGCGTTTACCCTACACGCGCGCGACGACCCGCATGGAGCAAAGAAAGGCTTTGCTGGACGAGAATTGCTTCAGTTGGAAGTATGGTGACGATCTTGCGATGGCAACCACGCTCCACGTAGACGGCTCACTGCCTGTTGGGCTGCCAGCATGGCTAGACTGGGGGCACGCGCTCATGAAGAAGAAGTTCGGTAAGATTACACTCACTCGAGGCTTCCATACACTCACTCGGGATGTGTGTAACGCAGAATGCCCAATGATTGCATCAACATCAACCAAGATGCATACTTGGACACCATCACGGCTCCAGAGTTGTCGAAGCAGCGTCTTTCACAAGACAGTGAGTTTTGCACGAAGGAGGAGGTTCATGACTACCGCTCACTACGATGCCAACTCTTACATCTACTGCAAACCAGATGGGATATCAGCGCGGCCACAACTCAACTCCAGCCAAACAGACAAAGCCAACGATCGCAGACATGAAGGCCCTGATACTGACACTGGATCGAGCAAAGAGAAATCGACAATGCATGGGGCTTTACGATCATCGACTACATGGCCCAGTCAAGTTATCATCGATCGCGGATGCCAGTCACGGATCGAAAGTCACCAGCTACGCTCACGAGGCCCAAGGCTCGTTCCTCTGCGAGGACAAACCGTTCAAGATCCACAAGGATGGCCTACTCGACCCAGACGGTTACAAGCAGTTCATATCCAGGGCTCATCCGCTCATCGGGACATCAAAGAAAGGCAAAAGAATCAGCTACTCAACGTCACACGCTGGAGCAGCGGCAGCAGTTGGAGGATCACAGAACGCACAATACGTAGCACTACGATTCACTGAGATATCGCTGAAGCCTTGGACCCAACGCAGCTCCACTACGACAAGATCAGGTCTTATGAACTCACAAGATCAAGGATTGACAGTGTTGCCCGCAGAGATGGGAACTGACTGCTATGATCTGCATCACCTGAATGTGGGACAAAAAGGCATGCCGGCAGACAAAACACAGAGATTATGTATCGTCTCACTTCGCGAGGACAGAATCAGCGGCGGAATCATGAGAGTACTCCACTTACGGACAGATCTTATGATCATGGATAGTTTGACAAAGGTTGGTACCTTCCCGAAGTTGATGCAGCATCTTACAACAGGGATTATTGGTCATACGAGAACTACTACGACAACTACTACATCCAAGAAACAGAACGACAAACCCATCGCGATCAGGACGAGCAACGTTAAGAAGAACTACCAGGAGATCGATTTGATCGAGTTATCTGAGGCACCGCTCAACGCATGCCTTTTCTCCTCTTTCTCTTCAAGAAGCAGGATCCGAGCAAGGATACTAGGCCCTTGGGAGTAGTAGAGAGTGCACAGATGAAGTATAAGTCAGATTGGAATAGGACGTTTAGAAGTGACTGAGAGAGAGCTCCGCGATATCGGTGCTCAAGCCTTCCAGAAACTAACTCCTTGAGGGGGGGGGGGGTCCAGGACGCCCCCCCCCCCCCCCCCCCCCCCCCCTGGCGCTGGAAAGGAGGGGGGGTGCAGGGTTCGACCCCCCCCCTCCCGCCTTTGTTCCGAACAGGGGGGCGGGGAGAGGGCCTCTCCCGCAAGGGGGGGTCTGGCCTCGGGATAGTGAGTAGTGAGTAGTGAGTTGATAGTAATGAGTAGTGAATAGTGAGTAGTAAGTAGATAGTAGCGAGTAGTGAGGAGCGAGGAGTGAGTAGTGAGTAATGCGCAGTGAGTGGTGAAAAGTGAGTAGTGAGTAATGAATAGTGGGGAGTGGTAGTGGGTAGTGAGTAGCGAGTAGGAAGTAGCGAGTAGTGAATAGTGAGTCGCGAATTGGGCACTGTGAGTAGTGATTAGTGAGGAGGGAGTAGTCAGTAGTAAGTAACGAGTAGAAAGTAGCGAGTAGTGAGTAGGGAGTAGGGAGTAGTGAGTAGTGAGTAGGGAGTAGTGAGAAGTGAGAAGTGGGTATTGAGTATTGGGCAGTAGTGCGTAGGGAGTAGCGAGTAATGAGTAGTGAGTCGTGAGTCGTGAGTTGTGCGTAGTGAGTATTGAATAGTGAGTAGTGAGTACGACTTGTGACTAGTGAGTAGGGAGTAGAGAATAGTGGAAAGTGAGTAGTGCGTAGAGGGTAGTGAGTATTGCGTAGTGAGTAGTGCGTAGTGGGTAGTGAATCGTGAGTAGTGGTTAGTGAGTACTGAATACTGAGTAGTGAGTAGCGCAGCGACTTGTGACCAGTGGCTAGTGGGTAGCGAGTAGGGGGTAGGGAGTAGCGAGTATTGGGTTGTGATTAGTGAGCAGTGGGTACTGTGTAGGGAATGGGGAGTAGCGAGCAGCGGATAGTGAGTAGTGAGTTGTGGGCAGTGAGTAGTGAGTAGTGAACTGTGAATACTCAGTAGTGAGCCGTAAATAGTGGTTAGTGGGTAGTGAGTAGTGGGCAGTGAGTCGTTTTTAGTGAGTAGTGAATATTGAGTACTGGGTAGTGAGTAGTGAGTAGTGAGTTGGGGGTAGTGAGTAGTGAAGCGGGAGCGTCGTGCGTAGTGAGTAGTGGGTAGTGAGTGGTGCGTGTTGTGTACCGAGTAAATTGTAGAGAGTGGCGAGTAGTGACTAGTCAGTAGCGGGCACCGTGTAGTGAGTAGGGAGTAGCGAGTAGTGGATAGTGAGTAGTGAGTTGTGGGCAGTGAGTAGGGAGTAGTGAAGTGTGGGTAGTGGATGATGGTGAGTGGGTGGTGACTAGTCATTTGTGATTAGTGCGTAGTGGGTAGTGTGTTGTGTTTAGTGAGTATTGAGTAGTGGATAGTGAGTAGTGAGTACTGAGTAGGGAGCAGGGAGTAGGGAGTAGGGGGTAGTGGGTAGTGAGTAGTGGGTAGTGAGTAGTGAGTCGTGAGTAGTGAGTAGTGAGTAGCGAGAAGTGAGTAGTGAGTAGCGAGTAGTGAGTAGTGGGTAGTGAGTAATGCATAATGAGTAGTGAGCACTGTTTGGGGCTAGGGTTGGGGTTCGGGGTTAGGGTTGGGGGTTAGGGTAAGCGTGAGGATTAGCGTTAGGGGTGGCAGGGGTCGGGTTCCGGAGCCCGGGGGCGCCGTGCCCAAAAGGGGGGGGGGGGGTCGAATTTGGCGGCCAAAGGATGGGAGGAGGGGGTGTTCGGACACCCCCCCCCCCCTTTGAAAGGGGGGAGGAAGGGAGGGGTCCCCGACGACGGATCGGGAAAAGGGGGAAGGGGGGGGGTTCTCCGACGACGGATCGGGAAAGGGGGGGGGTCCCCGACGACGGATCGGGGAAAGGGGGGGAGAGGGGGTTCCCACCCCCCCCCTTTGGGGAGATCCAGCGGCGCACCCTCCCCTATTGGGCCACGTAACGTGTGAGGGGTGTGCCGAACTGGACATGCGGTGGGCGGGGAGCCGCATGCGGACCCTGCCACTACGGCATTCGGTTGAGCTCCCTGTTGGGCCACGTAACGTGTGAGGGGTGTGCCGAAATGGACATGCGGCGGGCGGGGAGCCGCATGCAGACCCTGCCACTACGGCATTCGGTGGAGCTCCCTATGGGGCCACGTAACGTGTGAGGGGTGCGCCGAAATGGATACGCGGTGGGTGGGGAGCCGCATGTGGACCCCCTGCCACTGGGGCTGGGGCTTCCGGAGGAGCTCCCAATGGGGCCACGAACCATGTCAGGGGTGTGCCGACATGGACATGCGGTGCGCGGGGAGCCGCATGTGGACCCCGTGCCATTGGGGCGTTCGGTGGAGCTCCCTATGGGGCCACGAGACGTGTGAAGGGTGTGCCGACGTGGACATGCAGTGGGCGGGGAGCCGCATATGGACCGTCCCATTGGGGCCTTCGGTGGAGCTCCCTATGGGGCCACGATGCGTGTGAGGGGTGTGCCCAAATTGACATGCCTTGGGCGGGGAGCCGCATGTGAACCCTGCCACTGGGGCCTTAGGTGGAGCACCTTTCGAGGCCACGAAACGTGCGAACGCTGTGCCGAACTGGCTGACGTGCGGAGGGCAGAGGCAGGAATGGGAGGAGGGGGAAGGGGGCAGCGGGAAGGAGACGCGGGGCGCTGTCTCTTCAAAACGGGGACTCAACACCACAGGATGGTCGGGAAAACACTATCCTCGATCCTCGATCGATCCTTGGATGGGGCTCCTAAGGAGGCGCCCCAGCGCGAGGCGCTGGAGGACGCGCCGCCGCACGCCGAGCTGGAGGCGGGGCCCGCGGGCCTCCCGCAGCTCCAGCGCCCGTATGCGATGCTCCGCCCGCCGGGCATTGGCCGCTGGGCTGCGTCCTTCACGGATTGGCCCAGGCCTCCCTCCTCATTCTCCTCCTCCTCCTCTTCCTTCTCCTCCTCTTCCTCCTCCTCCTCCTCTTCCTCCTCCTCCTCCTCCTCCTCCTCCCCTCCTCCCCCTCCTCCTCCTCTTTCCTCTTCCACCTCCCCCTCCTCCCCTCCTCCCCCTCGTCCCACTCCTCCCCCTCCTCCTCCTCCTCCTCCTCCTCCTCCTCCTCCTCCTCCTCCACTTCCTCATGGGGCCGACGTCGCGGATGCATCGCCGACGCGGTGCGATCTTCCGACTCCATCAACTACGACCCCATTTGGGAAGCTTCTGGGGAGTGTTTCGAAGGTCGAGTTTCGAGGATCGGCGTCTTCCTCGGCCGTTGCCAGGGGGCTCCTCGTCGCTACGGCTGGATCCGCCTCGAAATTTTGATCGGAACGCACCCAGGACGGGTCCAGGGACCGATGTTGCACCCTCGGGCCGAGACCTCTTCGCGTCGTGAGAAACGGCGCGAGGTTTGGGCAATGTTCGGCCCCTGTGGGCCCTTACCTGGCCCCTGGATTGTACAAAGGCAGCTCTGGATGACAAATTAGCCCCAGGGAAGGGGCGACACACCTGAGGCGTTCCAGAAAGGGCCTCGCCTTCGAGGATAGAAGGAGTTGGCATCTTTTCCTCGGCGGAGGGGCGGCGGAGACCAGCGGAAGTAAAACGAGGCCGCCTCCCCTGGCGGAAGTTGGCGGAAGTAAAAGATGCGGCCCCAAGAGACGACAGCATGTTCGGGTTCAGGGCTTGCAGACCCCGCCATTGATGTAGTCCACAGCCTGGATAACAGGGCAGTCTCGCGCGCGGCCGCGTCATTGCGCGCATTACGCGTCTGTGCACGCGCGCGCGCCAGAGCCTGCCCACGAGCCTAGGGGAAGTGGTGTGCGGAAGCGGCCACGAGCGGGGAAGCCCTGCCCAGCAGTTGCGCTCTGGCGCGCGAGCCTAGGAAGCGCTGCCCAGGAGCTGCGCAAAAAGCCTTGCGGCACACGTTTTGGGAACGGTTAGGAAGACGTTTCCAGGACGCACTGCAAGTTCCAGCAAGGCGCTGCGAGGGTGCCTGGCTGGCAGCCGTGGAGGAGCGCTGACCTAGCCTTGCCTGCCGGCTTCTTATTTGTCTAAAGCCTTCTCAGCTCTCCATGGAGTTGTCCAAGAATCTCGGGCTCCACGTTGTCTAAAAGTCGCGACGTCGGGGGTCTGGACAGGGGCGCCCTTGTGCTTATCAGAGCGTGTTTGCGCCATGCTTGAGGCAGTCTCGCCCTTTGCCGTGGCAGCTGCGCCCTCAGCCATGCCAGCCTCAGGACCCTTTGTAACTACGCGGTAGCTGCGATAGTTGGGAGAGGGCCTCCAGGAAGGCTCTCCCTCTTTAACCAAAAAAGAAGAGTACGCCTCCGACATGTCCCCCGGGTCCCTGAACGGGTTCAAAGTGCGTCCTCGCGGCCACCACCGCGGTCTTCCTCATGTTCTTCATTCTCCTCTCTCCTCCTCGCAGCCCAAACAGTGAATATCCTCCATCCTCATACAGGGTGCGAGGGTATGATGCGGGACATGTCCCTCGTGACCCAGTGTCCTGGCGTGGCCCGGCATTCACCAGAGCGGATCTCGTATGGATATGTTGTAGCAGACCCTGGTTGTTGGCACAGAAGCCACACACACACACACCTGGGACGAAGCAGCTTCAGAAAACAAGTAGCTCTGTCGGAGCCTTCGCTGAGCGATCAAGAGTGCTCTGGAACGGCCGCGGGGCCTCATGCATCCTCTGGACAGGTTGCCTCTCAGAGATCCCTGAGTTCTTCGTGCTCGATTCGTTTGCAGCCTGTCCTCGGCTCGTCTGATGCCGAGACTGCCGTGGGCGGCAGGCACACGGGGCCGCGCGCACGCGGTCCCTTCGGAGGCAGCCCTGGCTGCCCTCAGCAGGCCCCACGGGGCAGTCCGAAGCCGCCTCGGCACCCCGTCCCCACCGCCCCACGGAATGCCGCCAGAGGCGGCGTGGGAGTGCTGGGACCGCCCAGGACTGGCCCAAAAGAGTCCTGCAGAGCCACCGCCCCCAAGAATGGGAAGCTACTTGTTCTCTCCGCGGGCTGATGGACGAACTGGGACCCCAACAACAGTTGAAGATACTGATTCCACCGCGGCGGCCACCGCCCCGGCCTCTGCTATCGTCGTCGTCGTCGTCGCGAAGACGATCGTCGTCGACGCCGCCGTCGTCGCGAAGACGACGAAGACGACGACGACGACGACGACGACGACGACGACGACGACGACGACGACGACGACGACGCGACCACGACGATCACGACGATCACGACGACGACGACGACGACGACGACGCGCCGATTCGATTGGAGATGTAGCGAAGGAGGAGGAGGGGGAGGAGGAGGAGGAGGAGGAGGAGGAGGAGGAGGAGGAGGGGGAGGTCCAGGAGGGAAGGGACGAGACTTATTCCCAGCCGAGGGCTTAGGGAGGGGGGGGGGGGCATTTAACATTAAAGACCCTCTGCGGTTACTCGTGGGGCGTGTTGAGGACAGCCAGGAGTGCCCCCCACGGCTGTTTGTGCGCAGCCCTAGGCCTTGCCAGCGGGCACCCTCTCGGGGAACCCCTTGGCTCGGCAGCAGCGCGCCGAGGGCCGAGGGGGGAAGCGAGAGGGGCCAGGCCTTCTCGGAAGGCGGGGCTTCTCAGAAGCCCTCCGGCCTTGTGAGACGCCCCCCGTGGCTCCGGCGAGGGCCCAGAGAGTTGCTCAGAAGGCCGGAGGAGGCCTTCGGAGCCTGGTGAGGAGGCCCGCACACTCTGCCTTCCCCTCGCCTTCGCGGCTGCCGCCGCCACCGCCGCCGTCGTCGTCGCCGTTGCCGCCGCCGGCTTCCTCCTCGCGGCCCGCCGCCGCGCCAGGCCTGGGTGCGCCGGATGCACCCCGCGCGCGGCGGCGCCGAGGCCGACGGTCACGCGGTCCTCGTCTCGCCGGAGGCGCCCGGCGCCCCTCCCAGATGCGCCGCCGCCCTGAGCAAGGGCAACGTGGGTGGGGGGGGGGGGGAGTACTCAAGAGGAGGACAAAGTACCGATGCCGCTGCCCTCCCCTCGCTTTCGCCTGTTTGGGGCCTTCTGGAGGGCCCTCGCTGCCACCGCTGGCTTCGCCTCGAAGTGCTGGTCGGAACGCACCCCGAGCGAGGTCTGGGGAGAAGCGGCATTGGTACCTCTTGTTTTTCCGCAAGTACGCTGAGGGGGGAATGTGTGGGAGGGAAGCGTCAGGGGGAAATGGGCTCAGGGGTTGGCCTGGTTGGCTCTAGCGATGTGTGCGGCGTTGCCATGAGGTTTGGATCGTCGGCCAGGGATCGTTCGGAAGGGAACCACCATTCTGGAGTCGTGCAATCGAGCACTCAGCAGTCACGATGAGTTCGTGTCGTCTCGGCACGGCGGCAGTGCGGACGTTGGCCAGGGTGAGTGGAAGGGGTCATCTGTAGAGAGGGGCGAAGAATGGGAAAGGTACTGGGCAAAGAAAATTGTCCCTGGGCCCGATGATGCCTTACAGACCGCTGTTGGCGTAAAAAGCGCCCATTCACAGACGTTTCGTCGACGGTGCCGCCCCGGACCCCTCGTTTCAATGTTGCGTTCGCGGCAGTTGCCGGGGTGCAAGCATCGGCATAGAAAACGCCCAAAACTCCACCGCCAAGGCAACCCCGGTGTCAATGTTGAAATTGGGGGGGACGGGGGTTCTGAACACAGCAGCGTTGTCCATCATGCCTGGTTCGCATGTTTTACACCAACCGCGGTAATACTCCCTACCTTGATTGCGGGCCTTGCGGGAGATGCTGGCCTTGCGGGGGGCGGCATCCAGGCCCATGTCACAGCACATCTGTTTTTATGGCACTCGCGAGGGCTCTGGCGCGGGCGCCGCTCACTTGGTTCGGCCTACGACCGCGCGAGTTTGCTGCCTTGGCTTGCATGTTTCTGATTCCTTGTTGCCCTCCTCGTCCTCCTCTCTCCTCCTCCCCGTCCTGTCGCCAGCGCTCTCTGTTGCTTCTGGCCTCTTGGCCAGTACTCTAATTAAGCAGGCGACGTGCGCGATGGCCGCGTTGGGCGGCCACGCTGCCCACGCTCTCTCTCTCTCTCTCTCTCTCCTCCCTCCTCATCCTCCTCCGCCTCCTCCTCCCTCCTCCTCCTCCTCCTCATCCTCCTCCTCCTCCTCTTCCTCTTCTTCCTCCTGCGCCTCCTCCTCCTATTCCTCCTCTTCTACCGCGAAGACTGATACACTCTGGACGTGATGGCCTGTCCGCGAATTGTCTTCGCAGCAGGAGGTTGCATGTCATGTTTTGGGCGTACCCGCATGGCCGCGATTCAGCTCCGAGAAATAGTTCAGGCATTGGCCATTTTGGCTTAATGCATTCTGGCGACCGTGTAGATTGCCAACGCGATTGTCCATACACGGTGTGATTCGTTTTCTCCGAGTAGCATTGCATACGTATTTTGGTGTCTGCACACCTGTGTCGCTTGCGTGCGCTATAACCGCCTGCCTTTCCGCCCTATGCATCATGCCTGCTACGCGCGCAGTCGGAGGTAAATGTAACACATCGTACCGGCCTCACTGAGCTGTTGGGAGGTCGCATCTCTTGTTCCCACCTCAGAAAAATCGGGAGGGGAAAGACACACAGACACAAATAATCGCCGACTTCCAGTAAGATACGGGGAAATATGGAAAGCAGAGGGGAAGACGAAGATCCACAAAATCTAAGAATAGTGGGAGAATCTTGGGATTTGTGTCTCTGTATTTGTGTGTCCTTGGGCCCCTTAAAGGAAAACTCACCATCTTGATGATGTCAAGGGAGGCTTCACCCTGCCGGCGGCCCCCCCTTATGACTGATTGAACGGCTATACGCGTGCTCGGCTGGTTGGTCTGCTGTCTTGTCGGCGGGCTGGTTGGCAACTCGGCTGATTGGCCTGTTGTTTCAATATAACGAACGAACAACACACACATACCCATAGAGGGGTCAGAGGAAGGGGGACTGGCTATGGGTGTGGGTGCGGGTTGTCGGACCCCGGAGGAAGCTCCCGTTCGAGCGGGAAGACCTTTATCCGACAACACGCACCCATGGCCCCTCTACGTCCCCCCTGTGGGTATGGATGCGTGTTGTTCGCTCGTCACAATTAAGTACTTGGCAGTCGGTTTTGGATGGTTGCTTGGCTGGCTGCTTGCGCCCGTCTGCAGTAATTCATCAGAGATGGTGGCATCGGAGGCGCGCTCCTATTGCAGTTTGTGAGGGTTCGCAGCGTTGGGAGCGCGCATCCCTCACTATGTTGGTTGATTCGCGGCCTCGGGTCCAGGGCCGCATTGTCAGGAAATGGCGGGGGGCCCAAATCCCCGAATACAGATCCGAAGACAGGAAATGACAATTTTTCGGCTTTGGGAAAAACGCTTTCGAGCAGCCTCTGCAGAGTGGGCCCGTGGCTTCGGAAGCGCGAACGCGCAAAAATTAACAATGAATCATCGCATCGGGAGCGCGAATCTATTGATGAATTGGGGGGCCTCGGGGGGCGCGAACGTGAAGTTTACTGAGGCTTGTAGCTTCGGGAGCACGAAGGGTTGCGCTGTCGAAGACGCAGACTCGCTGTAGTTTACGAGGGGCTGAGGCTGCGGGAGCGCGCGAATGCGCTGTAATTTATGCCGGCCCTGGAGCCCTCTTTAAGGCCTCTTGGGGGCCTCTTGGGGACTTCTTGGGAGTCTCTTGGGGCTCCTTGGCGGCGTCTTGGAGGCCCCCAGGGCCTCTTGGGGGGCTCTTGGGGGCCTCTTGGGGCGGGAGGGGGGCTAGTCGATTGTGGCTCCCCCCTCGGAGGCCACGATCCTCGTGAGGGGTGTCGAAAAATGGCCCTCCCTTGGAGCGCTCTGGGGGCTTCTCCCGGGACCTTGTCGGGGTACTTTTCGTCCGGGGGCCCTCAGGGGCCGCTCTGCGCGCGCGAACTAGAAATATTGTTAACCAGTTACCGGAGATCTTAGCACGCCTCTGGCCCGTTGGGCTGGCGAATTATGGCTGTGGCTTCGGGAGCGCGAGCTCCTGGACGGGCTGTGGCTGGCTTATGGCTGGAGCGCGAATTATGGTTGTGGCTGTAGTATTCACGACGGGCCGTGGCCTCCTGGACGCAAACTCGTTCTAATCGATCAGGAGTTGTCGCCTCGGGAGCGCGAATCTGCCGTAACTCACACTTCACTCGGGGTCGTGGCCTCGGGGGTGCGAATCTGTGGTATGTTACACGCGCTTGGGGCAGCCCCAGAAGGTCGCAGCACGCGTTCATATGGTGGGAGTTGGTTGACTGTCGGGTTCGGGTCCTCGCGTGGATTTGAGTCATTCTAACACGGGAGCTGCAAAATAGAAGAGTCACGGTTATAGCATTGGGACTTCGAATTGCTGCAGGGAAGCGGAGCACCTACGCCTCGCAGCCCGTTGGCCCCCTAAGAGGCCCGCGGATTTGGTCATGCTCATGTGTGTGTGTGTGTGTGTGTTCCCCTCCCCCGCCCCCCCGGCGCCGCCCCTGCCGCGCGCCTGGCCCTGCTCCGAGCGCGCTCGGCTTCCGTCTCCCTCCCTCCGCCGCCAGGCGCCTCCTCTTTCCTCCTCGTGCACCGTGGCTTGATTCGCGTCTCGTACGACCTACCAGCGCCCTATCCGCCAGCGCAGTGACTTCCGCCTAGCCGCCGACGCAACACGTGTGTGTCCCCCTCCCAGGGATGCGAGGTTCGCGCGAAGAGAACTATACACATGCACCGATCCTGGCAAGGCCCATCCCTGACCCGGGATCGGTGCATATATCTTCCTGGCCAAGGTAGGAGGGCGTATGCACCGATCCTGGGCTCAGGATCGGCCTGGCCAGAATCGGTGTATGCGCATACACCTTAGGCGATGCTTAAGAAAACTTAAGTTTTCGGCCAGAGTCTCGATTATTCTTAACGCTTCAATGTAAATCTTAAGATCTTGATAGAAATCTTGGGTTTTTGTTCAAGTTCTGAGACTATGAATTTCTTAACCCATGATTTCTTAAGCATTTCGCAGGGTGTATGTGCCTAGTTCTCTTTCCTCTAGAGGTGCCCCGCCTGCCAGGCCCCTCCCCGAGGGAGGGGACCCGGACCTCCGACGGCCTGCCGCTTCTCGCTGCGTGGGCCCCCGGAGCGGTCGCCCCCTATCCCCGGGACCGCGCGCCGCGGGTCGATGGCTGTTGCTGTCGGGGGCGGAAAAGAGGGGGGTGATGACTAGGGGGGGGTGAATATCATGGCGGGGGCCATGATATCTCCCCAGATTTCATGGCGCCTCTTCTTATTTCATTACGTCCCTGGCCCCCACGCTGGGCCGCGCACATGCCGCCGGTCATGATTTGCACACACCCCTCTTGGACACCCCCCTCTTGGCCGCTCCCGATTGCTGCCGAAGAAGAAGAAGAAGGAAAAAGGCCATAAACATACACTTTTGGCGCTCCGCGCGGAGTTCTTGCGTCCGCGTCGGGCCCCCACGGGCGGCGCCTCCGGCGCCGCCCCTGGCGCGCTCCGCGCGCCAGGGAGGGAGGCGCAGCGCAGAACCAAAAAATCCGCGCGGAGCGCCAATAGTTTATGTTTATGGCGCTGTTCTGTTCTTCTATGTTGGTCCCGCGACCCGACAGTAGTCCCCAGGGGCCGAACTCTGCCCACCTGAAAGACATGCTTGTTACGCCTCTCTCGCGACGCCCACGGGCTTGGGTGACCAGGGTCAGTTGTCAGTCCCTGGACCCGTCTCGGATACGAACACGGCTGGAACATGCATTAAAGAATGTGCCCAGGAGGCTTCAGACCTTGGAGGATTCCTTGTCTAGTGAGGGCGGCGGTGATAACCCATGGCCAGTCTACGATTGGAGTTCCACCAGCTTCCAGACCCTGGGTTCTTTGCGAAACGGTTCCTTACCAAATGCACTCACCGTGCTGACAAGTTTGTCGAGCTGCGCCCAGCCGTGGCCACGAGAGACCAGGAGGTAAAAAGAAGACAAAAGCAATGAAAGTTTACACCGCAAGAGTTGAGGCAAAATTCCCCCGTTGCGCGTCGGCGCCCCCTCGCCCCCGAATGGAGCGGTCGCGCGAACACCGATGAGTTCAAGGTCTTCCTCAGAACCTGCAGACCGCAGGGAGGTTGGAGGTTTTTGGGCGTCTTCGTCAGTTCTTGGCGGTCTTCCAGCCTCGGGGTGCTCTCCAGCAGCTGCGCCTCTCCGAGAGCGTTCTGGGGGTGCCCGGATCGTCCCGAACGGCCGCCAGAGTCCCGAGCTATGACCCGAAAACCAGACGACGAGGATCATTGGGGGGATAGGCTCAGGGGGGAAGGCATCGACCCCCCGTCGCCCATTCATCGCTGATAGGGGCATGATAGCCCACCCCGCCCAGGAACGTGCGGTTTCGCTATCGGGGGCGCATCGCCGATCTATCGGCGATGTGTCACCGAGTCCAGCTCGATGTTGCCCCCCCCCCTGAGCTGGTCCCCCCTGTCGTCCCCCCTCGCAGACCACCTTGCGCGCGTCACTGAACATTGACACTGGGAGGGCCAAGGGAGATCGAATTTACCTGGCGAAGAACCCAACCGTACACACGATTCCCTCCTCATATCATAAGAATTTTGCCACTCGGGTCTTCGTTGGAGCTCCCTCTGGGGCTACGAAACGGGCGAGGGGTGTGCCGAAATGGGCGGGGTGACCCCATGCCTACATGCCTATTTGGGTCTTCAGTGGAGCCCACTGTGGGGCCACGAAACGTGTGAGGGGTGTGCTGAAATGGAAGGGGGGACGCCATGCGAACATGCACACAGGGGCATCTGGTGGAGCTGCATGTGGGGCAAAGAAACGTGAGAGGATTGTGCCAAAATGGGCGGAGGGACGCCATGCGAACATATCCACTTGGGTCTTCGGTGGAGCTCCCGGGTCCACGAAGTGAGCTCTCCATGGGGCCACGAAACGTGTGAGGAGTGTGCCGAATTGGGCAGCAGGGACGCATGTGAATTTGCCCACTGGGGCCCTCGGTCGGGATCTCTATGGAGCCACGAAGCGTGTAAGGGCTGTGCCAAAATGGACGGCAGGGACGCTTGTGAACTTGCCCACTTGGGACTTCGGTGGAGCTCCTTATGGGGCCACGAAACATGTTGGGGGCGTTCCGACATGGGCGGCCGGGACGTATGGGAACTTGCCCTCTGGGGCATTTGGTGGAGCCCCTTTATGGGGCCACGAAGCGTGTGAGGGGCGTGCCGACATGTGACACACGCGGATTACAGAGGCAAGCAATGCGAGGGGGGAGGGCTGCGGGAGGAGACGCGGGGCTGATTCAAAACGAGAACCTGACACCACAGGACGGATGGGAAGAAACCCTCCGCTGGAACTCCCCGCAGCCCGCCAAGGTGGCGGCAGCTGCACTGGCGGCATGCGGCAGGGTGGAAGCAGGAAGCACGCAGGCTGGAGGTGCGGAGGAAGCAGCAGGAAGCAGGAAGCAGCAGGAAGCGGAAGCACGTGTGCAGGGCAAGAGGAGGGAGGAAGGGAGAGACGCGCGAGCCGCGCTCCATGCAAGGCGAGAACCCAACACAGGACGGCCGGGAACAAGGATTGTTCCAAAAAAAAATCCGCGGGGGGTTGCTGCTGCCGTCCTCCCAGAGAGGTGAAGCGGAAGGCCGACTTCGACCTGATCGCCGGCCTGTGCGCGGCCGTGCTGTCGGGGCGATACGGGCCCGAGGGCCTCGCGGACCCGGAGGACGGCGCGGTGCTGATCTTCCTGCCGGGCTACGTGGGCCGCGGCTCCCCTCGCCGTCGGGGGCGGAGGAGGAGGCGGGAGGCAGGATCTGCCGCCTCCTGGGAAGGGAGTCCTCGTGGCCACGGCCAGGACGGTGTCGAGAGGGGGTCGCGAGGGCTCGAGCCTGGACGACCTGCGCTCTCCCCCAGAGAGAAGGAGAGACGGAAGCCTCTGTCTTGTTGGACCTTCGCTCCGAGCTGCTCCATAAGCACACACGGACACCATACACCAGGCCACCCCGCCCGACGGCCCACCCCCACCCCCAGCCACGCGCAGCGAACCATTCCCCCCACGCGATCCACCACCACCACCACCCCGCACGCCCCGCGAAGGCCAGCCCACTCCTAACCCCCCCGCCCCCAACGCGATCCACCAGCCCCTCGCTCTTGGAGCAAAGCTCGGAGTGCTGGCCCGCAGCGACCAGACCGCGGGGTGGATGCTGTGAAGCTGGCGGCTGGTGCAACGCGGTACAGTGGAGGCCCATGCCAAGAAACACCTTGCTTGCCTCCAGGGTGATCTGGGTTTCTCGGATTTCGATGGTTCTGCTATGGGAAGCGTGACGTTCCCACACCAAAAATCAATAGACGTCCTGGGGGCTCAGGCTTGGGTTTCTCGTGGAATGTTTCTTGTGGACTGGCCTCCACTCTAGGGCTTGGAAGCGAGGGCGAGGGTCGAGGGCTATCTTCCGACCTCCCTCCTTCTCGATCGGGCTGGCAGCCTCGGGGTTGGTCGTGGGGGCCCCGCGGCTCGCAGCTCCAGCGTGTATGGGGCCCGACTCCCCACGTCAGCACCACCAGGAAGAGATGCACAGACTTCCAAAGGATTGATTCGTTCAGCAGCAACGTTTCTCCCCGGCGTCGGCCTCAGGGGGCCATCTTCTGGCCCTGGGGCCAAGAAAGGTTGATCCTGGGTGAGAACTGCTCCTGGCCTGGAGGTCTGGTGCCGCGGAGTGGAATGAAGCGGCTCGTCGGACGTCTGGGACCCCCAGTAATGGGCACGCCTTGGCAGCGCACAGGACGGCGGAAGGAATGCGCCGTTCGTCCTCTCCTTCGGGCCGCGACGGGACCGCAAGCGAGGGGCCCAACTTGCAGGAGGCGAATTCTTTGCACGTGATAGTTATATGTGCGCGGAGGGGGGGGGGGGGGGCAACATGCTCCTGGCGCGTGCGCGCAGGGCATACGCTTTCGCGTGTCCACGGGGCCCCATTGGGGGGATCAACCTGGGGGTAGCGAATTACTTGCGTATAAAGTTACGTGCGCGGAGGGGGGGAGGGGGGGGGCAACGGGGGGGGGCTCAACCTGCGCCTGGCGCGTACGCGCGGAGCAAAATCTTTCACGCGTTGCGGGTCACGACGAGGCCGCAAGCGAGGGACCCAATTTGCGGGTGGCGTATTGGCGTATTTTTTGCATGGACAGTTGCGTGCGCGGAGGGGGGGGGGGGGCAACGTGCCCCGCGTACGCGCGGGGCACGTGTTTTCACGTGTCCGTGGGGCCCCAGGGGGGACCCACCTTGGGGGTGGCAGATTGTTTTCAGGCGATCGCAAACATGGATCAAGGGTGCGTGGATTAGCGACGGGCCCCGTTTCCATGGGAAACAGCGGCTTTCCGCCGCCGAACGAGGCGGCACTGGCCGCCTTCTGGGGAGGGCACCTCCCCCGATCCATGGATTTGGCGACCGCGCACCAAATCCATGGATCGCTAATCCATGTTTGCGCGCCCCTGATGCTCGTATGTAAAATTACGTGCGCGGGAGGGGGGGGGACGGAGGGGGGAGCCCAGCATGAGGTTCTGGCGCGTGCGCGCGGAGCTCGTGGTTTCAGTTGTTTCGCGCGCCACGACGGGGGCCGCGAGAAACGAGGGACCCAATTCGCAGGTGGTGGATTCTCTGGCACGTGAGCATACGTGCGCGGAGGGGGGAGCGGGGAGGGGGCAACATGCCTCTGGCGCGCGCGCGGGGCACGTGTTTTCACACGTCCACGGGGCCCCAGGGGGACCCAACTCGGGGGTGGCGAGTTCTTTGCATGTGAAACTGCGCGCGCGGAGGAGGGGGGGAGGCAGCGGAAGGGGGGGGCGGGGGCAACATTCCCCTGGTGCGCGCGCGCATAGCGCGTGCTTTCATTTATTTTGGGCCACGATGGGGCCGCAATCGAGGGTCCCAACTCGCAGTTGCCGAATGTCTTAAGTGAAAAATGCGTGCGCGAAGGGGGGGGGGCGACATGCCCCTGGATCCGAGCCGCCCGCTGCCCTCGTCGTCGTTCCTCGTCGGCATGGTCGCCGGCGGACAGGGCGGAGGAGGAGGAGGAGGAGGAGGAGCAGGAAGAGGAGAAGGGGGACGAAGAGGAAGAGGAAGAAGAGGGGAAGGGCGACGACGCAGGATAATGTGCGTGATGATGGATATGCTGGTAATGGATGTGGCGCTGACGATGATGATTATGATGATGATGATGATGACGACGACGATGATGATGATGATTATGATTATGATGATGATGATGATGATGACGACGATGATGACGATGACGATGACGATGACGATGACGATGACGATGACGATGACGATGACGATGACGATGATGGTGATGGTGATGGTGATGGTGATGGTGATGATGAGAATGATGGTGATGATGATGATGATGATGATGATGATGATGATGATGATGATGATGATGATGATGATGATGAGCTGACGATGATGATGGTGGTGGTGATGATGATGGTTTTCGGTGCCCCTTTGGTGTTCGGTGCCTCTTGGGTTGTCTGCGCTCCTTTGGTTTTCGGAGCCCTTTTGGTTGTCGGAGCCTTTTTTGGTTTTCGGTGCCTCTTCGGTGTCAATTCCCCTATGGTTTTCGGCATTTCTTTGGTTTTCGGCGCCCTTTGAAGGTTTCCGGCGCATTGTTACTTTTCGGTACGTTTTGGGTTTGCGGCGCCTAGCTGTTTTTCGGCGCCATGTTGGTGCTCGACGTCCTTTTGGATGCGGCGCTCTTTTAATGTTCGGCGCCCTTCGGTTTTCGGCGCCATCTTGGGTTTGTCGGTTCTCTTTTGGTTTGTGGGTGCCCCTTGTTGTTGCTGGCGCCTTTTGTAGTTTCCGAAACCCGTTTAATGCTCGGCGCCCTTTTGGTTTCCAGCGCATCGTTGATGTTCGGCGTCCGTTTGATGTTTGGCGCTTCTTCGGTTCTCGGCGCCCGTCTGGTCTTCGGCGCCCTTGTGTTGTTCGGCTCATCTTTGGGTTTTCGGCGCCTTTTTGGCGTTCGGCGCCTCTTGGATTTTCGGCGCCCTCTGGTTTTCAGCGCCATTTTGATTTTGAGTGCCCCTGTGGTTTTCGGTGCCCTGTTGGTTTTCGGTGCCTCTTTGGTATTCGCCGCCCCTTTGGTTTTTGGCGCCCTTTTGGTGCTCGGCGCCCCTAGAGTTTTCGGCGACCTGGTGGGTTTCGGCGCCCCTTTGGTTGTCGACGCTCCTTTGATTTTCGGCGCCCCTTTGGTTTTCAGTGCCTTTTTGGTTGTCGGCGCCTCTTTGGTTTTCGGCGCTTTCTTTGTGTTCGGCACCCTTGGTGTTTTCGGCGCCTCTTATGTTTTCGACCCTCTTTGGGTTTTCGGCGCCCCTGTGGTTTTCGGCGTCCATTTAGTTTTCGGCGCCGCCTTGGTTTGTTGGTTCTCTTTGGGTTTTCGGCGCCCCTTAGGTTTGCGGCGCATATTTTCTGTTCGGCGTCCCTTCGGTTTTCTGCGCCGCTCTGGTTTTCGGCGCCCGTCTGGTTTTCGGCGCCCCGTTGGTTTTCGGCCCTTTTGGGTTTCGGCACCTTTTTTAGTTGTCGGCGCTCCTTTGACTTTCGGTGCCTTTTGTGTGTGTGTTCGATCGACGACATTTCGGTTGTCGGCGTTCATTTGGTTGTCGGCGCTCCTTTGGCTTTCGCCGCTCTCTCCGTTATCGGCGTCCCTTTGGTTTTCTTCGCGCCCTTTACGTGTAACGACCTTTTGGTTTGCGGCGCCCTTTTGGTTTCGGGCGCCCTTTTGATTTTCGGCGCTCTCCTGGTTTTCGGCGCCCTTCTGGTTTTCGGCACCCGTTTGGTTTTCGGTGGGGCCCCTTTGATGTTTGGCGCTCTGTTGGTTCCAATGGGGCGTAGGGTAGCTAAGCCCCCCCCCTTTGTAAAGGGAGGGGAGGTAGCTTCCGGAGCGCGAAAGGGGGTGTAGCTTCCGAGGGGCGGAAAAAGGGGGGGGGCCGCGGGGGGCTTCCGGCAGGGGAGATCCAAGGGACGGGGGCTTCCGGCAGGGGCTTCCGGCAGGGGCTCCCCTTCTTTGGAAACGGAGGGGGGGTCGCTTCCAGAGCGCGAAAAGGGGGGAAGGGGGGAAGCTCCCGAGGAGCGGCAAAAAAGAAGGGGGTCTTCAGCAGGGGATGTCCAAGGGGGGGGTAGCTAACCCCCCCCCCCTCTGGAAAGGGAGGGGGGGGAAGATTTCGAGCGCGAGACGGGGGGGGGGGAGCTTCCGAGTAACGGAAAAAAACGAGGGGGGCTTCCGGCAGGGGAGGTCCAAGGGAGGAAGGGGGGGGTACTTACGTAGCTGAGCCCCCCCCCTTTTTGGAAAGGGAGGGGGGAGGCAGCTTCCAGAGCGCCACGAAGGGGGGGGGCAGTTTCCGAGGGACGAAAACAGGGGGAGGGCCTCAGGCAGGAGAGGTCCCAGGGGGATGTATCTACGGTGGGACCCCCGTCCATTGGGGAGTGTGCGACGGGCGCGCTCCCTCATTGCTTTGCATTGTCTTGCATGTGTTTGCTTTGCCTTGCGTTGATTTGAGTTGAATTGCGTTGAGTTGCATTGCTTTGCATTGCTCTCCTTTGCTTTGCATTGCTTTGCGTTCCTGTGCATCGGTTTGCATTGCTTTGCTTTGTTTTGCTTTCCATTGTCTTCGCGTATCCTTACGTTGCATTGTGTTGAATTGGTTTGCAATGTTTACATTGTTTCGCACTGCTTTGCACTGGTTCGCATCACATAGATTGCACCACATAGATTGAACCATCTAGATCACACCACGAGTCCCAGATAGCACCGCCTAGATCGCAAGAAAGAAGGCACCGTTTGGGGTCCACGTTGGCTAACATATCAATACATCTGTACGTAGCCCCCTGCAGATGCGGATACGAGTGAGGGGGCGGTGGGGACGTCGGCAGTTTGCGAGACTTTGAAGAAGCTTGCCGCAGGCGCCAAAGTTTCACAAATTATGCAACGAGCCCGCCACAGGCGCCGATTCTTTCGCTAAACCAATGTGGGTAGGTCGCGGGTGGGTTGCAAATGGCTCGCGAGTGGGTCGCGGGTGTAGAGGGCGGAAAATCCACCCCATAATAATCACCCCGACAAGTGAAGCCGTTCAGTAAAGCACAAGGAATAAATCGAACAGGGCAGGGCTGTTTAGTAAATGCCCAGGGCCGTTTAGTGAAAGTCAATTGTCGGGTCCGGGTGGTTTTTCCTCCCTTGAGGGTGGGTCGCGGGGCGGGTCGCGGGTGGGTCGCAGGGTGGGTCGCGGGTAGGTCGTGGATGGGTCGCAGATGGGTCGCAGATGGGTCGCAGGGTGGGTCGCGAGTGTGTCGCGGGGTGGGTCGCGGGTGGGTCGCGGGTGGGTCGCGGGGTGGGTCTCGGGGTGGGTCACGGGATGGGTCGCGGGGTGGTTCGCGGGTGGGTCGCGGTGGGTCGCGGGTGGGACGACAATAAACAACAACAACAACAACAACAACAACAACAACAACAACAACAACAACAACAACAACAGCAAGAGCAAGAGCAAGAGCAAGAACCAGAACAACAACAGCAAAAACAACAACAATAACGACAACAACAACAGCAACAACAACAACAACAACAACAAAAATAACAACAACAACGACAACAGCAGCAACAAGAACAAAAACAGCAACATCAACAACAATAAACAACAACCAACAACAACCAACAACAATCACAACAACAACACAACAAGCAGAACTCTCACCACGAATTCCATTTTCAGCCACGCACCCAGGGACAATGAATGACCATTCGGCCCCCTCACTCTGATGTAGGTGTACATATGTATACGCATTCACATACCTACTTGGCGGGGGACAGGGCCCAGGGGCCCAGGAGCCACTACCACTAACATCAATGGGTCGGCCCGCCCCAGGGGGGCCCCAGTTCGGATCCCGGAGCGGTCTGGCCCGGGCCTGGTCGGTGCGCGCTCGGCTCGGTTGGGCCGGCTCGGTGCGCGCAGCGCCCCCGCCCGACCCGCGGGAAGCGATCGGGGCGTGCGGCCGAGGTGGAGATAGACCGGTGCCTCCGCGTGCTCAGGAGTGCACGGGCCGGGCACGGGGCGAGCGCGGAGGAGTGGAGGAGTCGGTTACACGCAAGAGCGACGTTTCGCCAGAGTGACCTTTAGCGCGGGCACACCAGGGTCCCAAATGGCTAAATTCAAGTCGGGCATGTCCCTGTACAGGAGGAACATGTAAAAATAGTCCCAACAAAAAACATATGGGGACGATTTGTGTTAGTATTTGTGGGCATTTGTTTTGATGGTTTGACTCCTTTCCATTCTTCTCCCGAAATCCGCCTGTAGGAGGACATGCCCGACCTAAGGCTGAATGCCATGCGATATCAGCGTTTTCCGTGCTCGGGTTTGGAAGCCCCGCGCCCCCGAAGGTCGCGCAACAAAGGTCACTCTTGCCCAGGGTCACCATTGCGGGTAGCGGAAGGAAGAAGAGGAGCAAGAGTTGAGGAGGGGAGGAGGAGGAGGAGAAGTGGTCTAAACATTTGGGGAGCCACGTTGTGGAACAAAAAAACAAAAACAACAAAAAGAAAATATGAATTCGGATGTCTGAGGAGTGATGTCTGAGGAGTGGAGGAGGAGGAGGAGGAGGAGGAGAAGGAGGGAAGAGGAGAAGGAGGAGGGACGAGGAAGGGGGAGGAGGTCAGAGGAGGAGGAGAAGGTCCCGATACCGCTGCTCGTCCTGGAGGGCCCCCGTTGCCACGGCTGGATCGTCCTCGAAGTTCTGGTCAGGGCGCACCCTTGAAGAGGTGCAGGGAGTGGCGGTATCGATGCCGCGTTGCTCCCCCAGAAGGAGGAACGGGGAAGAGGAAAGGGGAGGGTGGAGAAGGAGGAAGGGAGGAGGAAGAGAGGAGGAGACATGGGAGGAAAGCGGACGAGGAAGTCCTGAGAGGCGGGCCCGCTGGGTGCAGTCGTGCATCCACTCGCGGCCAGGCTGTGGGGCGCCATCTTGGCGCCTGAGCCGCCTTGCGCCCCTCGTCCTTCTCCCCCGCCTTGCCCATCGTCCTACTCCTACTAATCCACCCTTCGTCGTCCTCCTCCTCTTCCTCCTCCTTGTCCTCCCTCCTCCTCCTCCTCCTCCTCCTCCTCCTCCTCCTCCTCCTGCTGCTGCTGCTGCTGCTGCTGCTCCCCTTCCTCCCGCCCGTCTCAGGAGCCACCCGGGGGTCGGAGAGCGCGCTTGGTTGCTGCCGCTGCATGGCTCCATGCCCATCGTGGAGCAGCACCGCGTCTTCCAGCGACCCCCCGCGGGCACGCGCAAGGTCATCGTGTCCACGAACATCGCGGAGACGTCCGTCACCATAGACGACGTGACGCACGTTATCGATTCGGGACACGTCCGGGAGACGAGGTCCACGGTCCGCTGGCCGCCCTGAGAGCCACGGGGGCCCAGGAGCAGCTGAGCAGGCCGTCCAGAGGCCAACAGAACAGCCAGAGAGTGTCTCTTGGTCTCCAGGGGGCATGTCCGGTTGCACCTGGCCCCCCCTGGCCTTCAGGGAGGCCGCCTGATCACGGGGCGAGGTACAACCCGCGAAGCTGCATGAGCGTGTTCTCGACGGTCTGGGTGAGCCAGGCAGCCGCGCGCCAGCGCGCCGGGCGTGCCAGCAGGACGAGGCCGGGCGTGTGCTGGCGCCTCTATGAGGCCGACTTCCTCGAGGCGCGGCTGCCTGCGCACACGCTGTGCGAGATGCGGAGGACGTGCCTGGAGGACCTGGTGCTCCAGCTGCGCCTGCTCGAGCTCGGCGACAGGGCCGGGGAGTTCCTGCAGCAGGCGCCGGAGCCCCCCGCCGCGGAGGCCATCGCGGCGGCCGTCCAGTCGCTCGTGTCGATCGGCGCCTTGGTGAACGCTCCTGGGCTGCCCCTCACGCCGCTCGGCTTCCACCTGGCGCACATGCCCGTGGACGCGCGCGTCGGGAAGATGCTGGTCTACGGGGCGCTGTGCTGTTGCCTGGCCCCGGTGCTCACCATCGCCGCGTGCCTCTCCCACCGGTCGCCGTTTGCGCGGAGCTTCAATCGCACCCGCGAGGATCGTGGGCGAACACATATCCGCTTTCGCGGCCTCGCGGGCGGGACCCCTGGGCCGCGACCCCGCGAATGCGGGGCCTTTCTTCCGTGGATGCCTCGCGCGGGAGGTATCCGTGCGACCGCGTATCCGCGGGATCGCGCCCCAGAATCAAGACCGCGGGGGCGCGGATATGGATGTGTTCGCCGCTCGTGGGAGGAGCAGTGGCGCAAGGAGCGGGAGGAGCGCTTCGGGCACCTGTGCAGCGACCACCTCGCGGCGGTCGCTGCGTTCGACGCCTACCAGGCCGCGCGGGCGGGCCAGGAGGACGAGGCTGCGTGCAGGGCTCTCTGCGATGCGGTGGGGCTCTCAGCCCACGCGGTTGGCGGCATTGCGCAGCTGCGCGAGCGCTTCTTGCGGCACTTGGCGGGCATCGGTTTCGCGGGGTCGTCTGTCGACGGCGGCGAAGCGGTGAACGCGAACAGGGACAACCTCGCCTTGGTGCGGTGCGTGCTGACCGCCGGGCTGTTCCCGAACGTGGTGCAGGTGCAGCGCGCAGCAGCCCGAGGGGGCAGAGGAGGCCCCAAGGTCGTGTTGGTGAGCCGCGAGCGGGAGCGGTGTGCAGTGCACCCCTCGAGCATCAACTCGCGCCAGCTGGAGGACTTCGCGGCGAACAGCGCCTGGCTGCTGTTCCACACGAAGGTCCAGACCTCCCAGATCTTCCTGCAGGACTCTACGCTGGTGGGCTCCATCCCGCTGCTCCTCTTCGGGGGCGAACTGCGCCTCAACAAGGCAAGGACGCACATCGTGGTGGCCGGCTTGGAGTTCCGGACCAAGCGAGAGGCCACCGCCGTGCTCCTCAAGTTGCTGCGGCGAGAGATCGACCGCCTGCTCCTCCTGAAGGTGGCGGGCTCCATCGCGGAGCTGGCCGAGCTCTCTGTTGGATGGAAGTCTCGAGCTCTCTGCCGCCTCGAGCGGTGTGCGCTTGGAGCAGGAGCGACACCGCACCGCTCAAGGCGGCGGAGAGCTCGAGAGATCCATCCAGCAGACTGGCCTTCCTGAAGGTGGCGGACCCCGGCGCGGAGCTGGCGGAGCTGGCCCCGCCGCTTCTGGCCACGGTGCTGGGGCTCCTGAGGCTGGACGGCTGCGCCGTGAGCGGCCTGTGGCGCTCCTGAGACAGGTGCTCGCGCGCGCCGCCGCCGCCGCCCATGGCGGCCAGGCCGGCGCCCCTGGCGCAGTCGAGCTCAGCAGCGCGGTATTAGCGTGCGCTAGCGTCTGGAAATCGATGAGAAGTGCCGAATTAGCGTCGATTAGCGTCGATGTAGCGTCGACTAGCGTCGATTAGCGTCGGCCAGCGTTGATTCGCAAGAGCCAGCAAGGTGGCATGGGAGGCTCCCATGAGCTGCCACCGAAGGATGATAACTGTGGGGGGGGGGCTGTCATGGCGAGGGCATGATATCTCCTTGGATTGCACGGCCCCCTCGCATTCCTTCAGCACGTTCCCTGCCCCCGTCCCACCCCGCCCTGGTCCGCGCACGCGCCTTGAGCCATGATAGGCGCCCCCCCCTTCTGAGTCTGTTCGGCCCTGTGCTTTAGCCTGCTGCTGCAGCAGCTGTTGTCGCAGCCTGGACGTCCAGGGTCTTGCATCCTCCACGTGTATCCTTGCTCCAGTGCTTGAGTGTATCGGAAGTCAACGGCAATGGCTTGACCCCTTTGGACCAAGAGCGAGCCGATGTTCGGACGTGTTCAGTATTCGAGAGGCTCACGTTAGGCTCATATCTTGGCCTACGACTTCGTTTTGAGATCCTGTGTCCGAATATGTGTGTTGGGGTTCCCCTTGGGGATAGCCCAAAGACTGGACATCCGACGAAGATCAGCAGGCGTCGGCTCCTCTGGCAGGGTCACCTGATGTGAGTCCGCGCGCGGAGCCGAGGAGATGGAGGGCCTTGCCCAGGCGAGTCCGCACAGGACCAGAGGACGACAGGGGGGGGAGGATGCTTCAGTGCAGCCCTGGGGCCCGTGGTGAGAGGGGCCCGCCCTCCGCCCGTGTAGCTATGGGAGTTGCAGTTTGCTCCCTCCTCCTCCTCCTCCCTCCTCCTCCCTCCTCCTCCTCCTCCTCCTCCTCCTCCTCCTCCTCCTCCTCCTCCTCCCTCCTCCTCCTCCGCCCTCCTCCTCCTCCGCCCTCCTCCTCCTCCTCCTCCTCCTCCTCCTCCTCCTCCTCCTCCTCCTCCTTGGCCTCCATCTGTCCACCCCTGATGTTCAGGTGCACCTGCCAGCTCATGAGAGCTGAGGAGGTCCCCGAGCGCGAGCCCTCTTGCGAACAGGTGCCGCCCTCCATCTGTGCAACCGCTGAAGCATTTACGAAGTGCGCGGGCGGCGCTGAGGCGAGAGACACATTGAAAACGATTCGCCATCCAGCCGCGCAGGCGTTGGAATCTCTGTGAACACGAATGTGGCCGCGCTGAGGCGAGAGCCGTAATCTACGACAGCCATTCGCACTCCGTCTGCGCAATTGTCCACAACGTTAAGAATTCACCCTGCGCGCAGGCGAGAAGCACAGTTTGAAAACGGTTCGCCATTCATCTGTGCAGTTGCCCGGAATGTTGATGACGAATGCACGCTGCGCGGAGGCGAGTTCGAGATTTTGAAAACCATCCGCCCACCAAGCGATTACAGTCAGGGATTTGGGCTTAACGTGTCGTGTTGCCGATTCTGTCCTATCACGCTTGGCGCGACACGCGAAGCACGTCCTGGTCCCCAAGCGCCATCGTCTCGAGCCTCTCCCGGCCTCCCGCCCCGCGGAGCGGTGCGACAGGCCATCAGTTCATAGGGCACAGCGTGTCGCCAGGCCGCTACCGCGACACGCTAAGCAAAAGCTACCGACCGTAACTACAGTCGAGCAGCTGACTAAGCAGCCTCATCCCGAAAAGCTGGGCCAGCGTGCCTTGACCAATTTACAGGGAAGCTGGCCTGGTTTCTTGAGCACGTTCACCCCCCCAGCGTGAACGGCAGAAATTTGCCCAGGCTTGCTTTAAGACATGTCCGTGAAGTTGGCCCAGATTTTTTAAACTATAGTTTGTTTGATCATATGTTCGGCTGTAATGGAAAAAGCGTTCCGCAAACAGTGTTTGCACCGAGGGTAATGTCCTTAAGTGTAGAGAGGGATATCACTGAAGCGTCTCTCTGATAGCCACCCACAGACTCCCGTGTCCCACCAGCCCCGCGTTGTTGCGAGATCTTCTGGTGGCGGAGAGGACCCAGGAGGATGAGTTTCAGGAGGACGAGGAGAGGGAGTAGAGGAGAGGAGAGGAGAGGAGAGGAGGGGAGGGGAGGGGAGGAGAGGAGGAGCAGGAGCAGGAGGAGAGGAGTAGGAGGTCAAAGAGGATGAGGAGGAGGCGAAGGATTCTCGTTGCCGGAATTTTCTCGCGGCCACGGTCCAGGGACAGGGCGGCGGCCGCGCCGGGCTTCTCGCGGGCCGGAGGACAGCGGTGCCGCGTGGCGCCAGCGGCCGCGCGTCCTCGGAGAAAAGCCCCCTGCCTCCTCCTCCTCCTCCTCCTCCTCCTTCCTTTCTTTTCCTCCTCCTCCTCCTCATCCTCCTCCTGCTCCTCCTCATCATCATGATCATCATCATGATCATCATCATCATCAGCAGCATCATCAGCATCATCATCATTATCATCATGATGATCATCATGATGATCATCATCATCATCATCATCATCATCATCATCATCATCATCATCATCATCATCATCATCACCATCACCATCACCATCACCATCACCACCATCACCATCACCATCACCATCACCATCATCATCACAATCCCCATCCCCATCCTCATCCTCATCCTCATCCTGCTTCATAATCCTTCCTCTTCCGTCCTCCTCCATCCTCCTCCACCTCACCCTCCTCTCCTTCTCTTTCCTCTCACACCACTCTTCCTCCCTTTCCCTCCCGTGGCGTTTGGACGTTTCGGGGATCGGGCCAGCAGGAAGCGCACTTCTCCCGTCGTCTGTGCGAGAGCGTGCGTGACGCTGCCGGTCACCAGACGAATGACAGGATGAGAAGCGTGTCGGGGGAAAAAGAATGCTGCGTGCGTCGCAGCGCGAGGATGGGGGTGGAAGATGCTATGCTGAGAGGGTCGCCGTACTTGTTTGTGCTTTTCCCATTCGATGGATTGTTGTGCTTCCCAGGTGGGGGTGAGCGGATGTGCGTGTGCGCGTTTAGGGCGTTTTGGGATTGTGTTGGAGTCCATCGAACGGATCTCACGCAGAAAAGCTTAAGAAGGAAAACCCATTGAAGAACAGCGGGCGGGACGGATGGAGTTGGATTCCTCACGGGGCACGGTCCGCGTGGGGAATGTGCCGAATTGATTCACGCCTGTTGTTTTGCGACGACGTGGGAAAGGAACAGCGCGTTGAGAAGAAGTCCTGTTGAGCCTGTCGGGAGAATTTCGTGGCTCGAGGGGCCATATTGGAAAATGATGTGCCCCCTTCTTCTCCCTCCCTCCCGCCCTCGGGCACTGCAAAAGGATCACATCTTGCACTATACGATGAGGATGCTGAGCAGGCGCGACGTCGCCCTGACATGTTCTAAACACGCCTTCTGAACAGAGAAACATTGACTTCAGACCTTGGGAAGGCAAACGCCATGCACGCGGGAGTTGTGTCCAGAAACCTCTTCGCATCCGTCGTTTGGCTTCGGGCCCTGTGCCAGGAGGATCCGAAGGTCCTCCAGCCCCTGCTCCTCCTCCGCAGTTGCACGCTCAGGGGCGCCGCCCAGCCCCAGCTGGCCATGTCCAGCGGGAGCGAGGACGAGTCGTCGTCCGCGGAGCTCGTCCCCAAGAGCCCCGCCCGCGCGCCCTGGTCGCGGGCCGCCGCGGCGGCGCTGGCGGCGGGCGCGGCGGCGCTGGTGCTCTTGGCGGCGACCGCGCGCGGCGGGCCCATTGCGCGGGCTGCGGCCAGGGATTGGCGAGAGGCTATCCCGCTGCCTGCGGCAAGCTCCGCCACCGTGCCAGCGCAGCTCTCAGGAGCGCAAGAAGGGCGCACACGTGCGTGAATCCACCTTGGTTTCGAGTGTACGCACTGCGCTAACGTTCGTATCGCGAGGCTAGTTTCGCGGACTCGGGGGCCGTATTCAAGTACGTAGCTGGGCGCGTACGTCCCTTGTGCTTCCCAGCAGCAGCCCAAGCGGCGATGTGTTTCCAGCACCAGTGGGGAGGCCGTAACATAAGGCACCTCTCGTGTGTATTCTTCAAGGGGTTCTTCTGGGTGTCGCCTACCTGGGCCGTCGGAGGCTCAGCGTGCCAGAGGGCATGGCGACGGATTGTCGAGGCAGCTTCCGGGACTGCAGGCGAGCAGTCGTCTAATGCTTCTAATGATTATGATTCGTATGGCTTGGCTAATTCTTCCAACGTGATCAACCGGTCGTCGCCCGAGGTGGAGGAGGCACGCGAGGGCGGGAACGGCTCTGTCGATGACGGCGAGCAGCAGTATTGGATGCTCGTCCTCCCAGAGTATTGGGAGCGAGAGCACGTAGAAAAGTTCGCAGTTCGCGTCGAGGGCTACGGCAACATGAAATGCGACAAGGTGGAGGGCGAGCTCAGGTCTGTGCGGTTGCTGGCAAGCAAGATGTGGGTCGGCAAAATTGTTGCGGCGTTCTCGGATATTGAATTTGCCGAGTTGGACGAGACCATTTACGCGGTAGAGCCAGCTTCTAAAGGCATTGAGTACGAGGACGACGGGTCGGTAGGTCAGTTTGGCCTGGCCCCAGACAGCGACAAGAGGAGATTGTTCAACTCCGCTGCTCCGCGTGGCCTAGGCACGTGGGATGATTTTATGGCAGAGTGTGGCAGAGGCAACTGCGTTGAGAATAATCGGGCTGCCTGCGGCAAGCCCCGCCACCGTGCCAGCGCAGCGGTGAAGCAGCGCAGCAGGGGTTAGGTTCATTCTGAGGCCAGATCGAGTTCAGACAGGGCACTGAATTGGATCTGATGCTGCATGCCCACGCCTCGTCCGCAGCCTCGCTCTCTTCGTCCTTCTGATTACCATTACACTTATTATTATTATTATCGTTTGCATTATTATTATTGTTATTATTATTGTTATTATTAATATTATCATTATTATGATTATTGTTATTAATATTATTATTATTAATAATAATATTATTATTAGTATTATTATTCTTATTCTTATTATTAGTATTATTATTATTAGTATTATTATTATTACTATTATTATTATTGGTATGGTTGTTGTTCTTATTATTAGGAGTAGTAGTAGTACTAGTAGTAGTAGTAGTAGTAGTAGTAGTAGTAGCAGTAGTAGCAGTAGTAGTAGTAGTAGTAGTAGTAGCAGTAGTAGTAGTAGTAGTAGTAGTAGTAGTAGTAGTAGTAGTAGTAGTAGTAGTATTTGTATTATTACTATTATTATTAGTATGCGCTCCGCCGTCTCCTCCCCCCTCTCCTCTCTGTCTCTCCTCTTGAACACATCTTGGAGGCGAACGTCAGACTAAGCAGCACGATAGGCAGGAGGCTTACTTCAAGATCCGCTCAAGTTCAGACAGAGTGCTGAACTGAAGTGGACCTTGAGCACACCCTCCTGGTCCGCAGCCTCGTTATCATCTTCTTCTTGTTGTTCGCGCCTCCTCCTCCTCTTCCTCCTC